GTAATGTTTTTTGTAGTACATGTGCATCTGCAGGTTCTATTCTCTTATAATAGTGTTCCTTTGTCTCTACTATTTCAAATCCAAATTTTTTATAAAAATCGATAGCTCCCTCATTACTTATTTGAACATGACTATAAATAAATATCAGAATATCAAACTTTCATTATTAATACATTGTTTTATAATTATTCTGAAATTGTATAATCTTCTATACTTACAGGAAAATTGAATCAAAGTTTCCATCTTTGTTGACATAGTTTAAAACATGTTGTACCATTACAGTACCAATTCCTAATCTTCTATAGGGATAAAGACATCCCAACGTCATAATATATAAGCGCCTAGAATTCTCTGAGGTATCTACTCGACAACAAACCGCTCCAACCTAATACAAAGAATTAATTATTTACTTATAAATATTTCTCATAATTAATGTTTTTCTTTATGAGAAAATTAAATTTAAAAAATTGGGAACATGCCACTATATCATTATAATAGGCAAGTTTTGCTAGTTCTCCAGCTTCTAACACATCCTTGTAAAATTTCTCATTGTAAGAGACAGGAAATACCACTTGATTAAGAAGCTTTAGTTGTTTTATATTGTGTGGGGTTACATCTCCTAACTCTATCTTTGATCTGTAATTTAAGAATTAAAATTTCATATTAATATCACTAAATTAGGTTTTAATTAACAAAAATTTGAAAAACTGTCAAATACAAAGATCACACAGAATTTATAACTAAACACGTTGGATACAGCAAAACACTACGTTAAAGAAATCATTCTTTTCATAACATTTATACCATTCTTTTTCTGAGATTTAAAATTACACGTTTTCAAGTATATGTGCCCTTGAAAGTGGAAGTATTTAACTCTTCGAAGTACTGTCAAGTTTTGTGAATCATAAATAGAACAATATTCACCATATAATATCACAAACTGTGTATTGAAGTTAGGTCAAATAATGATTGTTTAGAATCATTCGGCTTAAAAAGTAAAATATAACCTCACAAATATTTGAAACTCACCTAGTCATATTAGGAAGTACCAGAGTTTTCTAAAGATTCTAAAATAAATGGTAACAACAAATTTTTAGACTAATAGCTATTGCAAGAAAAAATGTTAACAAATAATAATTTGTCGGTACTGCACTAACGTCGTGCCGCTCTATTCGTATCACACACACCGAAATCTTATTAAACACTAAATACAAATACATACAGTAGGTTAAATATGTGTCTTTTCTGACTTCGAATTTTGATAGCTTTAAGAATACGTAACCGATTTCTACTTTATCATTAATATGTTCTCTAATTATAATAATAAAGAGAATATAAGACGTTTGCAAGAAAATACAAACGAAAATAATAGTAAATATTTTTACATTAATTTTATTATATTTCTAACTAAAAGGTTTTATATCTCGTCTGTAGTTTTATGTGAAAATGTCTGTAATTTTATACGCAACTATTTATAAGCAGGATAGTTTTTTGTATGTTAAAAAGAATATTTCAAATTTAAAATGATCGCATTTTATATATATATATATATATATTTTATCAGCGTACATTATTAAACATTAATATTTCTGATTGACGAAATGTAATACAATTTGAATTTATCACCATAACTGAACGTGCATGCAGAATTAATAGTTGAATCCTATTAAATAGTTTCATGAACTTTTTATTCATTATTCATTTAAATTCGAAATTTTAAATGAGTACGGTAAAACTGCGAACACACGCACAATTGCATGTCCCTATCATTGTAAGTGCTTTGCATGTATATTTTAATCCATATCTTCAAGACACATGGAATGTAATAAAAAGTCTGTCGATAATTTTTTATGTTATAATTTTAATAGATACCAACACATTTTAAATCCATGTCGCTCTATGCGTATCGCACAACCATAAATTATATGCTCTGTGGTTTCGTTTCCAATGTTGACCAATGAAGGCGTTGGCGTCGACGGTCAGTGGTCAGTGATCCAGTAATACCTCACCATAGTAAGCCAAGGTGGAAGACATGACCGGCTTAGAATTATGAAGCAGGTAGACAAACTGCTTTTTCTCAGATTGGTTGACGCTTCACAGCTAAACAGTGCTGCCTTCACAGTTTTAGACAAAGAGAAAAAGTACTGAATGAGCAAGAGCATGATATCAGCACAACCACGCCGACGCCAATGTAGCGCTTGTCTCACTTTACCGTGCTTGCGGTCTCACTCTTTTTGCGCATTCGTATACCTGATGCTCCATCTGAAACACTCGGCATAATATTCGACTTGTACTTTTCGTCACGTAGAATTCTCGACCACACAGTCCAGTATATTTGCGAACGTCTTGAAACGACAATAATTTCTACAGTTATTAACATTTTCGAACACCAGTAAGCTACATTTTAGATAATACTTTCTGGTTTATGAATCTATAAAATTATGTTAATTCTGCCATCTCAGTACTCGTCAACAGTGATGAGCAGCAATCAATGCTACGAGGAGTTTCAAAAACAACGAATAATTTAGCAATTTTTTTACGATTTTTGCTTTTAAAAATTTGAAAAACCAAACTGAAACATGCATTCATATATTTTTAGAAAGGCTATATATTTAATAGTGATTACCTACAAAAAATTCTCAAGCTCAGAGATTTAGATAATTAGAGTAAAGAATTATTGAAGATTGGAATAATTTACCGGCAGAAAAGAGTAAAATACTATGAAACAATTCCAAAACGTCTAGTAGAAATTTTGATCCGCAATCTACAACGAAACTAAGACATAGCCTTGACATTCCCATTTCTAGGATGAATAAGAACGAACATTCCCGCTTATATGAATTTGTGGCCCTGAGAGAGGCCGTTATTATTAAATAGAGGAGCCTGAGAAACATAGGAGATTGTTGCTTCTAAAATCGAATTTCGTAGCCCGTAATTCTGGAGTTTGAACCTTGAGTCATATTTTCACGGCAAGGGAAAATCCCACCACCACCTCAATCCTGCACAGGTCATTACTGTATACTACGTGGCCCGAGATTTGGGGGTTGTAAACCGAAGTCGTAAAATCCTAGCAATTTGCTCGGACAAAAAGAGTTTCGGTAGGTATGGTTAAACCTCTTTTTAATGGAATAACCATTCAGACTTTCTGTTTGAAAAAAGAATTTCAATTTCAATGCTATGAAATAGCATCATTAGAAGGATTAACGGTATCTGCGGAAACAATTTTCGTCCGTGCCCAGGTACAATGCTAGGCCTTTACGATTTCGGGTCTGCCAGGTAGTAAGGTTTACAACCCCAAATTTCGCCAGAGTGTGAAAGAATGTTCCGAAATTCAAGCTCCAAAACTACGGGCTGCGAAGTTAAACTTTACGCCGTTTCCGATCGAACCACAAAAGCAACAACAATCTCCTGTGTTCCTCAGGCTCCTCTATTAAATAATAACGGTCCCTTTCAGGGCCTCAAATTCATGCAAGCGGGAATGTTCGTTCTTATTCACCCTAGAAATGAGAATGCAATGTCCGAATAAAATACAATTTTGTATGTAATCCAACGCACAAACACAGCCATTTTTCCTCATATTCCTAATTTCGTTGTAGATTACGAATCAAAATTTCTACTAGTTTTTTTACTCTTTTTTGCTAGTAAATTGTTCAATCTTCAATAACTCTTAACTCAAATTCTTTAAATCTCTGAGTTTGAGAGAGTTTTTTTGTAGGTAATTACTAAATTAAATATGTAGTCTTTCTAAGAAAATATGAATGCAAGTTTCAGTTTTGTTTTTCTAATTTTTAAGAGTAAAAATCGTATAAAATTGCGGAATTATTCGTTGCTTTCAAAACTCCTTATCGTAGAGTAGAGCATTGATTGCTGCCTGTTGCAGTTGACTAGTACTGAGATAGCTGAATTAACATAATCGTGTAACTTATGGGTTTTCGAAAATTTTAATAACTATAGACAAGATCGTCACTTCAAGCCTTCGCAAATACGCTGGACTGTGTTGTCGAGAATCCTATGGAGCAGAAAATACAAGTAGAATATCGCGCCGCGTGTTTCAGATGGAGCGTCAGAGGTACGGACGCGCGAAAAGAGAGATCGCAAACACGGTTTGGAAACATAGAACCAGCTGGTTTCATTCTGTCTCTCTCGATTATCACCTGTTCTCTTTCTAAAGCAACTGCGCGGACTTGGATGCGCATTAAAATGGTGGGAATAAAAGTGCTTACTATAAATACTTGCCAAAATACTTTCAGAGGCAGTGTAGCTTATTACGGTGAGGTGTGATTGTGCTGTGAACATAATATTATTCTGTGCAAACGTCGCTTGTATTTTGTGGCATCAGCTAATTAAAAAATATTTGAGATATATTTATTATTCCTTGAATTCAATATTCAGTGGTAAGAAATGGTTTTTAAGAACTTTATTAATTTTTTTAGATTATGTATATTTAATGTTAATATTTTAGATTATAATCAGTGATAAATGGGAATTTGAGACTATCCTACATCGGGAGCGTTCTAAATAAATAAATGTGTTTTTCTGTTCTTTTAATATAAAATTTATATTTACGGGTAAACATTCAACTTTATATAACGTTTTTCAAATAAAATAATGGTTAAGAAAATAATTGATTTTGTTAATGAAAGAATATTACTTATTTTATATTTATATTTCTGTTAATTGTTATTGAAAATTTAACATTATTGCTTTTATATTTCAGTATCAAGATGAAGAGATCACATTCTAAAAGTAATCGAGATGGCTATGAACATCAAAGTCATTGTTTTAAGTCATCTACTAGAAGTAGTAGAAGCAATGATTATTACAAAAGAAGTTATGATTATGAAGAATCATATGCAGAGAAACAATCTTATGGACAACGTGATGTGAAAAGATCAAGAGGTTATGAAAAAGAAAATAGAAGGAATGATTATTACAAAAGAAGTTATGATTATGAAGAATCATATGCAGAGAAACAATCTTATGGACAACGTGATGTGAAAAGATCAAGAGGTTATGAAAAAGAAAATAGAAGGAATGATTATTACAAAAGAAGTTATGATTATGAAGAATCATATGCAGAGAAACAATCTTATGGACAACGTGATATGAAAAGATCAAGAGATTGTGATAAAGAAAATACAAGGAAAGAAGAAAAATATAAAGTAACAAAGAAATCTATGGAGAAGAGAAATGAGAAAAATACCTCTGATGAGGTAACAACAAGGCAAAAGAGAACAATTGACTTAATAACATCAAAAACTGGAGGTGCATATATTCCACCTGCAAAATTAAAAATGATGCAAGCAGAAATCACTGATAAATCTGGAGTCGCTTATCAACGCATTGCATGGGAAGCCTTAAAAAAGTCAATCCATGGCACAATTAATAAAGTTAATGTTAGTAATATAGGACTTATAACTCGAGAACTGTTGAAAGAAAATATTGTCAGAGGAAGAGGTCTGCTTGCTCGATCTATAATCCAAGCTCAAGCAGCATCTCCAACTTTTAATGCCGTTTATGCAGCTCTTACTGCAATCATTAATTCTAAATTTCCTAATATTGGAGAATTAGTATTAAAACGTCTTGTAATACAATTTAAACGAAGTTTTAGAAGAAATAATAAACCTCTTTGTATCGCGTCAGGTACATTCATAGCACATTTAATAAATCAAAGGGTTGCTCATGAAATACTAGCATTAGAAATATTGACATTGCTAGTAGAGACACCAACAGACAATTCCATTGAAGTAGCCATTGCATTTTTAAAAGAGTGTGGTATGAAATTGACTGAAGTCACCAGGAAGGGTATTGAAGCAATATTTGAAATGCTACGTAACATACTACATGAAGGTCAGTTAGACAAAAGAATTCAATATATGATTGAAGTTATGTTTCAAGTTCGTAAAGATGGATTTAAAGATCACGAAGCAGTTCTAGAAGAGCTTGATCTTGTTGAAGAAGATAATCAGTTTACTCATCTACTGACATTAGATGAAGCAGTTGATTCTCAGGATACATTGAATGTTTTTAAATTTGATATGGACTATGTTATTAATGAAGATAAATATAAACAGTTAAGTAAAGAAATATTAGGTTCAGATGTTAGTGGATCAGAAAGTGAAGAAGATGATGAAGAAGAAAGTTCAGATGAAGATAGCAGTACTGCTGTAATGGAAGAAAAAGAAGACGTGATTGTAGATAATACTGAATCAAATTTAACAGCCCTTAGAAGAACAATATATTTGACAATTCATTCATCTCTTGACTTTGAAGAATGTGCTCATAAATTGATGAAAATGCAACTGAAACCTGGACAGGAAACAGAGCTCTGTCATATGTTCTTAGATTGTTGTGCAGAGATGAGAACATATGAAAAATTTTTTGGTCTATTAGCAGGTCGATTTTGTGCCATTAACAAAATTCATGTCACTATATTAGAACAAATTTTTCAAGATTCATATCACACGATACATCGTTTAGATACAAATAAGTTACGCAATGTATCAAAGTTCTTCGCTCATTTATTATTCACTGACTCTATTTCATGGGAGGTACTGTCTTGTATAAAATTAACAGAGGATGATACTACAAGTTCTAATAGAATATTTATCAAAATTTTATTTCAAGAACTTTCAGAATATATAGGACTATCTAAACTTAATCAACGCATTAAAGATGTTACATTACAGGAAGCTTTTGAAGGATTATTTCCCAGAGATGAACCAAAAAATACTCGATTTGCTATCAACTTTTTTACATCAATTGGTTTGGGTGGACTCACAAATGATTTAAGAGAACATTTGAAATCTCTTCCAAAGCCAACAATAGCACCTGTAATGGAACAAAAGCCTGAAAGTGCATCTAATAAGATCTCTCCGTCTAGTTCAAGTAGATCGTCATCTTTCACATCTTCATCTTCTTTATCCAGTAGTCCAAGTTCAGATGATTCTGATGCCTTATCAGAAAAAGAAACTAAAAGGAAGAAAAAAATAAAAAATGAACGAAGGAAAAAACAGACTATAAAAGAGAGCAGGAAGAAACATAAACGGGTTAAAAAATCTAAATAAAATATATGCACAATAATTTTTGTCATTATCCTTAGAATGTAAATAATTTGTAATAAATATTTTATATTGTAATTTATATTTCATATTGTAATATATATTTTATATTGTAATTTATATTTTATATTGTAATATATATTTTATATTGTAATAAATATTTTCATCAATGATTACCTATATTCCTGACATATTGCATGTTAAAATCATCAATTAAAAACAAAAAAAATGACTTAATAACATGATCACGTGATTAAATACAGTATTTTTTTCGTTATAAACTTGCGGTTTGTTATCGATGACGAGCTTATAGAGGGATAGATGACGGTGACGGCGAATGTGTGAGTGAAAGAAAACTAAAGCGGGAAAGAAATGTAGCACGATACTGTCTACACATACCCAAACGGTACTGGTATAGTAACGAGTTTATGGCATAGAGGACAAATCGAACTCGTAACAAGAGTTTTGAGAGTTACGAACTCGTAACACAAATTGAATGTGATTTTTCCTATTTAAACAATGGAATATTGTAATAATTTTTTTGTATCTATTGTATTTTTATGTATATAAATCTAGAAGATTATAGATAAACGTTACGTTTGAAATAGATCAATTTACGACCACCTTAGTTTTGTTGTACGTACTTATGTATATGATTTCTGACTCAACATAAGTATTTTAAAAAATGATCTAACTGCAAAATGAGATGAAATAGTCCTGTTGTGTACTTCCAGTAGAATAAAATATCGTTATACAGGGTGTTCCACAATTATTTTAACAGCTAAGAAAATATGAATGCAAGTTCCAGCTTTGTTTTTCTAATTTTTAAGAGTAAAAATCGTATAAAATTGCGGAATTATTCGTTGCTTTCAAAACTCTTTCTCGTAGAGTAGAGCATTGATTGCTGCCTGTTGCAGTTGACTAGTACTGGGATAGCTGAATTAACATAATCGTGTAACTTACGAGTTTTCGAAAATTTTGATAATTATAGAAAAGATCGTCGCTTCAAGCCTTCGCAAATACGCTGGACTGTGTTGTCGAGAATCCTGTGGAGCAGAAAATACAAGTAGAATATCGCGCCGCGTGTTTCAGATGGAGCGTCAGAGGTACGAACGCACGAAAAGAGTGAGATCGCAAACACGATAAAGCGAGGCGGCCTAGGTTTCTTGTCCGTACCGGACACATAGAACCAGCTGTTTTCATTCTGTCTCTCTCTCGATCATCACCTGTTCTCTTTCTAAAGCAACTGCGCGGACTTGGATGCGCATTAAAATGGTGGGGATAAAAATGCTTACTATCGTGAGCCGCAGTCAGTGGTGTTTATCATTATTTATGTGAATGTCAGTTTCAAACAAACTCTTTACTGTTTTAATTATTTATTCCTATATTTGTATAATTAATGATGTCTAACGCTAAGAGAGAACATACAGAAAGTGATGAGGATGACTGGGTTGGACCATTACCTTCTGAAGCTGCTCCACAAAAAAAGCGTAAAGGTTCATGCACCTAACTTACTTCGTAAACTGTATTATTTTATAGGAATGTGATAAAAAAAAATCATTTCTTACTATTACGTCTTTTATTTTATGTTTTATGTGAAACTTCAGTATTATTATTGTTTTCAATTTTCAAATTGTACATAGTTTATATTGGAAAATGAGATTTGAGGTTATATTATGGTTATTTGTAATATTGCAGTTTTGGAGTACGAGCAGGTTTATATAGAGAACTTACCATATTGTGAATGTTATGAGAAATCTTACATGCACAGGGATGTGATTACTCACATCTTAGTCACAAAGTTAGTATATTATAATTATTCTTATTTATCACAAAGTGTTTGTTATAATACTTATTTTTATTTATTTGTGCAGGTCAAATTTTGTAATAACAGCTAGCTGTGATGGACATGTTAAATTTTGGAAGAAACAAGAGGAGCTCATTGAATTTGTTAAACATTTTCGTGCCCATTTAATGGCCATACAATCAATGGCAGCTAGCTGTAATGGCGTTCATGCGTGTACAGTTAGTTTAGATAAAACAATTAAGATTTTTGATGTTATCAATTTTGGTAAATGTTTCTTAAAATCTAATGTGATTTTTTGTTATATAGCAATCTAATTAATTGAATTTCTGTTTAAGATATGATTAATATGATCAAATTTGACTTTATCCCTCTGTGTTGTGAATGGATATATTCACCAGGTGATGCAATATCTGCAGTAGCAATTTCTGCTCAAGAAACAAATAAAATTTTTGTATATGACGGACAAGGAACTGGAACACCATTGCATGTCTTTGAAAGATTACATACTAAGCCTGTTGTTGCCATGAGAGTAAGACAAATTAAATTTTCAAAATAATTCTGCTAATTATACTAACTTCTTTATTTACTGTATAATTCTATTAATCATATTAATGAATTTATTTTTAGTATAATTCTGCTTATGAAACGTGCATTTCTGTGGACAAAGCAGGGATTTTAGAATATTGGACAGGACCTAAAATGGAATACAAGTTTCCTAAATGTGTTACATTTGAGTCAAAATTGGATACAGATTTATTTGAATTCGCAAAGAATAAGACTTATCCTTGTGGTTTAGCAGTATCACCAGATGGTAAAAAATTTGCTTCCCTAAGCGGAGATAGGAAAGTCAGAGTTTTCAACTTCCGCACTGGAAAATTGTACAGGGTGTTTGATGAAACATTGCAAAGGTTTACAGAGTTACAACAAATGACGCAGCAATTGCCAAACATGGAATTCGGTAGAAGGTATAATGTTTGTTAACAAAATTAATTTATCACAAAAAGTTGAAGTTTTTATGCCTTTGTATAATCTTTAGGATGGCAGTAGAAAGAGAGTTGGATAAAACAGAAACAAATCTGGGTAACATAGTGTTTGATGAATCTGGTTACATGGTTTTGTACAGTACAATGTTAGGAATAAAAATTGTAAATTTGTATACTAATCGATGCGTTAGGATTATGGGAAAGCCCGAAAATATTCGTCCTATGCAACTAGCTCTATTCCAGGTATTTATCTAGCTTTCAGATCGTTGTAGTTATGAGTTAAATAATTTTTATACGTTTTTAAAACGTACAGGGGAAGTCGAGGAAAACAACAGCAGCTGTAACAGTAGAAATGGAAGCATCAGAGAATCCCACATTGGAACTCAATCGTCCTGATCCCACTCTTTTCTGCACAGCTCACAAAAAGAATAGATTTTACATGTTCACAAGACGAGAACCAGAAGACACAAAGAGTCAGGAGTGTGACAGAGACGTTTTCAATGAGAGACCATCGAAGGAGGACATTATTTCTTCCACAGAGGCTACTAACATGCAGAAGATCTTCGATACCGCTATCATTCATACAACACTCGGAGACATTCACGTGAATCTCTTTGGCAAAGACGTTCCAAAGACAGTAGAAAATTTCTGCGTTCATTCAAAGAATGGCTACTACAATGGACACGTGTTCCATAGGGTGATTAAAGGATTCATGATCCAAACAGGTGATCCCACTGGAACTGGTACAGGTGGAGAAAGCATATGGGGAGGAGAATTCGAAGATGAATTTAGACCCCATCTAAAGCACGATAGACCGTATACTTTGAGCATGGCAAACGCAGGGGCAAACACAAATGGCAGCCAGTTTTTTATTACTTTAACACCAACTGTAAGTTATCAATGTGAAATTAAGATGATTAGTTTATTATTAGTCTCAAAATAAGTTGTTTCTGTGTAATATGATTTTATTAATTTTTTCAGCCATGGCTGGACAACAAGCATACAGTATATGGCAGGATAGTAAAAGGCATGGAGGTTGTACAAAATATCAGTCAGGTTAAAACGAATCCAAAGACTGATAAACCTTACGACGATATTCGTATAGTCAGTGTCAGTGTAAAATAATAATAATTTACAATAAAAATATGTAATATATTTTTGTACATCTCTGTTATATTCTGTAATGTTCTATCTGAGTATTATTTCGACTTCTGTTCTCTTTGATACAGTAATCCTCTTATAAAGTTGTATGTGCCTGTTAAACAGGTAAAGGCGTTTACGGCTAATAAGTTGTAATTCCTTGGCAAAATTATCCATGAATATCTGAGGGATCATTAATTGATATTAACAATTAATTGAATTAATTTATATGTGGTTGTTTCCATATACCTGGACCATATAGCTCCTGTTATCATAAGACTCGCGGTTTGACTTAGGGAAATGGTGTTTGGTGGTCGATTAACGTCTCCTATTCCTGCTGCCACCAGACCCCATTTAAAAGTTGGAGCCCAAAAAAAAACAGTCGTTGGACCTGAATTAATTAATGTTACAGAGTACGTTTAGAAACGTTTATTGAAAACGACTACCAACCTGCAGGATGTAGAAAAACAGTACGTAATTTTTCTGGTAGAAAAGAAGCTATTTTTATCATAAGTTTTTGATAAGTACTTTCTTTTTGTGGCTTATTCATGACAGACCAATAATTGTTATTTTTAATTATTCATTGCGTATTATTTAATAGACTCATTGTGTCTATTGAATGACATTTATTAAAAAACTTGACAAAAAGCTTAAAGAAAATTTTTTATTAATGGAATTTCCACTAAAAAATCATTGTTTATTATAATCTGATTACAAATTATTCAATTAGATTAATCATTTGTATTAATCAAAGTACATTTCAATAACACACAACATAATAGCTTGGCAGTTGTTATTAAAAATAGTATCTATGACATTTCTAACTAACGATTATTTTTTCGTGATGTTTGCGATTCGATAATGTTTCATTTTCCCAAATAACTCACTATCACATCTTCATTCCCCCCAAAATAATTAAAAACATCAAAATTAATTGGAGTAATGCCATAATTAGCATTCTACTATTGTAGTCAAATTTTCGGCATCAGGAGGTAAAATAATCTTATCGAAATTCAAAATGTGTTGCAACAGCAATAAAGTTTCATGCTGGAATGATATGGAAGAACTGAAACATTTAATTTGTGCTATCGAATGTTGGTGCGTTTAATTTTACAGTAATTTTTACATGCATACATCTTACATTTTTTAGTAGTACTCATTTTTATTTCTTTAGATAATGTTTGTTGCATTCTTTACAGTCATTGTCCAAAAATACCACCACCACCGGTGTGTACGATGTTATTGCCACCAAGAATTGAAGAACTACCCCCTTACATTCCTCCTCCTGCTCCTTGTTGTCCTCCACCCCCTTGTTGTCCGCCACCCAAGCCATGTCTTCCTATATGTATCGGTCCTTTCCCTGCTCCTCCTATAAAATGTCCACCATGTCTTCCAAGACCCTGCTGTCCCCCATGTTGTCCACTACCTTGTTATCCAGGTAAGTTCGTATTTATTATTTAAGTACGTTGTTTTGTTAATGGTTTTGGTTTGTAGTTGTTAGATTATAGTATAAATCTTTAAATGTTATAAATTAGAGCTATTAAAATTAATAAGTGTTGTTCATAAAAAATCATGTAATATACTGAATCCTTTTATAGATCCCAATTGTTAAATATCATTGAAGTTAATTGAAAATTATAAGTAAGTATAGCATTTGCTTGTTCGAGGGAAGCTTTGGAAAATAATAATAATATTTGATTTTTCAAGGAGTACTGTAAGTAGTAACTGTGCGGATTGATTGCAACCAATGTATCTTGTAAATAATTGTTTCACAATGATGTTAAACCAGCCACCTTAAGGAGTATCAACATGTCCACATGACACTAGTGTTATTAAATTTGTAACGTATGCACGGAATAAAAGACGAAGTTATTTTACACAAGAAGTTTATTCGGATTTAATACGGTCCCTTGGATTGGCGCTTAAAGTAACAACACTTATCTTTTAATGGATCAATTCGATAGAGAATCCTCTAATCGCTGTAAGTTTTAAGCCTAGCATCGATTAATTTAAAAGATTTTATACAATAGCAATTGAACGAAGTGCTTAATATTTTACAATAAAAGTATCACGCTCTTCGCAAACGACGAGCCATTCTGGAAATAGAAAACTTATTGAAAAGGCCGGAAAATAGGTGTTTACAAATAATTTACAATCAATTACCAATGAATTCGCAAGTACGTATCGTTGTTTTCCGCGAGCTTGAAATTAGAAGATATTCATTTTCTCAGAGGATTAAAAAGTTGAATTCATTGTCAATTAATTAATGCGCTTCCATTTTTGTGTACGCTATATACTGTATAAGTCCATGTGAGTTTAAGTATAACAAACTGCAAATAAAATTACAGAGCCAGTACACTATTATTCTTCTTAATTATCACTTCGATAAAAATATAATAATTCAGAGGCTGAAAGAATATTTTGAGGGTACAGAAATGTTTAAAAATCGTCTCCTTCCTACCTTTCTGAATAAACCTAAATAACTCGGTATGTAATAATTGACGCTGGTCAATCGAAGCGATTCTCCATACGGCACAATGAAAATCATCTCGCTAAAACCTCGATCATACTTCTCTATCGCCGTTAACCCTTAATCGTACATTTTAAAATATTGTTCGCAGTGTTTCGATGCTGTTTCGTACGGGGCGTCCAACGACGAACCTCGAAATTCGCGTACAATCACGAGGGATCAACGTCTCACGTTCGAGGAATCACGTTGATTCGACGAGAAATTTCTCGAAGGATATCGCTTGTGAATTTACAAAACGCTACGTTTTTTCCCCTCCTTTAATTGCATTTCGTCCTAAGTTTGTCGTTTTAAGGAAGTTGGGTTCATCGAATAGCGTTCGTCCGTTCCAAGAAAAATATTTTCCTCTTTGTTCCGCGGGATCCCTTCCAGAAAAATCGCTTTCGGACGCCGCATATTTCACCAGCAGGAAAACTTTATACAATTTACCTATGATTTCGTCGTCGATTTGCTTCACACGGTAGAACCTCCATCATCCTGGTTCACGTTATCTATATGTCATCCATTCTACGATAACAGCGAATTTCGCCGATCGAAATCCTTGAGATGAAAAAGCAAACAGTCCTTCGATTCCATAAAATGAAAAAAACATTTAATCCTAGAATTAAGTACTCGAAAAACGGCGATTCGTAAACTCGTACAGATTCGCACCCTTGATCGATCGATTTCAACGAGTTCGAAAATAATCCGAATATTTTAATTATATTTTTAATTTTAGTTATATTAATTTTAATTATATTAATTAATTAATATAATATCTATTAATTAAATATTAATATAATTAAAATTAATATTAATATTTTTTAAATTTTAATTATATTAATTTCGGTGTCTACCGTACATACTTCAACGTACCACAGTAGCCGTGAAACACCATTGTTGCACATAAAGTGAAGCATCTTACGAACAAAAAGAAAAATTATACGATCATCTTCGAAACCAACGAAAATCATCGGCAAGAAATCTGTTCGACGAACGTTTGAAAAATAAGCGAGAATTAACGCGATGCAAAAATAATTAGAGCACGGACTACTCTATTACGAGTAATTATAAATCTGCAGGAACGAATCGCGACATCGAATGATCGAGGATCAAGCGTTTCCTTGGCACAGGAGCGAATAGACCGCGAAACAAGGATTAAAAAGTAGCTGCCACTTCGTGCGCAGCAATTACAACGGAGAACTTCCTTTCGGAATTTCCATCGGAAACGTTAGAGAATGAAAAGGTTCTCGCAGCTCTTCGTTTTTCTTTTAAATCCCAGCAGGTGCTTCAGGATCCTTCTACGGTGCTTGCTCCGTCTCCGTCTGGTCGCTTGGTCTCGGTCCCGTTGCGGGTTCAGCTTGATCTGCGCCAGAATCCCGACCAGCAGCTCGTCCACGTGGTGCGCCAGACCCGAGGAGGTTTCGATGAATTTGCATCCGCAGTTGTTCGCCAAACGTCGCCCAGCTGCGCAAACATTTGGACCGTTTATTTTGAAAGTGGTGCAAGTCCATTTTCTTTCGTTTCGAGAAAATTTGAATGTTAGCAGATCTGACAATGAAAAAATATAGGTTAATTATGTAAAGTCTGGGGATGTTTGTACTAATTTATCAATATGTAATTTGATTATATAAATTTCTTTTCGGCGAATTTAACTAAAATAATATACAATTTTCAGGCTGCAAATGGACTTACACCACTTTCATAATTAGTCAATTGTAAATATCATTTAATTTCAATTCTGAAATAACAAATATCACTTTCTTCTTTTGCTGGAATGAATTTTCCTTTTTTTGTAAAGTACTCTTGTCCGGCATTTCGCTTAATTTTGTTTACTCGTTGCGTATATTTTCCTTTATTTTCTTTTACAGAATCCAAGTTCTCAGTAACAATATCCTCATCTGATGAATATTCTATCTCTATAACTCTTCTTCTCTTTTTACACTTCATTAATTTATTTCTCATAGTAGAATTATCTTCATCCTCTCCGATTCTATGATTATTCTTTTGTTTATATTCATGGGTCTTATTTCCCCGTGTGAATTTATTTAAAATAAAATAAAATAACTATTTTCAATTGTCATAAAATAACATTGATTTACTGTTTCTTCTTACCTATATCACTATCTGATGTGAATATGAAATTATTCATTGTTGGAGGAAAATAAAATAAGTAATCTAAAATAGTAACTTTTGGCACGAAAATGAAACAATATAAATAGCAAATAAAACAATTGTGAAGCCACCGGTGGCCACTAACCCCGCCACCTGTCTATGGAAATTGGACTTACACCACTTTCATAGTCAATGGTTACGCAATTTCTTTTACCGGTCAATTTTAAATTGAATAAAGCATTGGCATTTTTTAAGATATTAACTACTAACTAGTTATAAACAAAAAGTTTACACTAAATAAAGCATAAATTACGTCATATCTCATTTTCTTTTAAAAAAGGACTTACACCACTTTCAAAATGAACGGTCCATTTATCAAAACATTCGTCACGCGTCGCTAACCGTATTTTCGCGAACGTCGCAGACATCGTTGTATAAGCGTTTATTTGCGCGAGAAGTCGCCCAATCGTGTCAGAGAAAATGTCACAGGCCATTTTACGCAAACATTTGAAAAGCACGAGGATACGTTCGATGCTATAATCGCTGGACGACGCAATAATTCCGCCATTCTCTCCGGACCGCTTTTATATTCTGTTGTGCATTTTACAGAAACCGTTGACGAATCAATTTCCATCGACAACAGGATTCGTCGGCGTAAACGCGGCGTAATCATTATTTTAATCCGTGAATTTTCTGTTTACAACGAACGCGACCTATATTAACACATCAAAGGCGGGAGTCGTAGTACTACGATTTATCTCGACTTCTCACAAATATGTGCTTTAAAACATTTTTTGTAATTAGTGTTTAGTTCTTTTGTAATATTTCTGTTAGTTTTAAGAGTTGAAATAAACTTTTTTAAGTCTAAATTCTTGTACGATTACGCAAAACATCGCCCGCTCTAGGACGAAAAACGAGGCGGGGCGGTCGCCGCGTTACCTAGCATACTTTCATCAAGATCCCCCGCCTTTAACACGTTGACTGCCACGCGTATTTACAACAAAATCTCCTACAGGCCACCCGTGCCGCTATAAGAAGCGTGCGCTGTTAATTCATATCTGTTTCTGTTCCTGCATGAACAGTTGGAATCTTTGCCGAGTACCGAATGGTATAACTTGAAATCTCTGCCCTTATTTTTTTGTCAATAATGAAAAGAGATCGGATCGCCCGGATGAAGAAGCATAAATAAAATTACATCGTCAGATTCTGATTTGGATACTGATAAATAGAATCTTAGTGATAATGAATGTTATGAAGATACTATTGACGAGATTTTACGAGAATTGGTCATGGAAGAAGAAAGAAATGTTGACGATACCGAGGAAGCTACGGTTCAAATAAAAGATACGAAACGGACCGATCAGAGGCGCGAGCATATCTGAAAAAACAAACAACTTTTTGTCCAAGCTGTCCTGATCAACCTCAACTTGGCAGAGAATGTTTTAATGTTATACACTGCGAGTAATTTGTTTAATAAACCATTTTTATAAGAATTCAGTAGTTTCATTACCTCCTGTAGAATATTTGTCGAAATATTTTCGGAAATCCTTTGTAAGTAGTCAAATCAGCGTCATCCGAATTACGGGTGACGTGGCCTGATGAGAACTTTTGCTGTCACCCGAATACGGGTGACGCGGCCTGATGAGGACTTTTGCTGTCACCCGAATACGGGTGACGCGGCAGTCAACGTGTTAAAGGCAGGAGTCGTAGTACTACGATTTATCTCGACTTCTCATAAATATGTGCTTTAAAACATTTTTTGTAATTAGTGTTTAGTTCTTTTGTAATATTTCTGTTAGTTTTAAGAGTTGAAATAAACTTTTTTAAGTCTAAATTCTTGTAGGATTACGCAAAACATCGCCCGCTCTAGGACGAAAAACGAGGCGGGGCGGTCGCCGCGTTACCTAGCATACTTTCGTCAAGATCCTCCGCCTTTAATGTGTTAAAATTTGTTTACCGCGTTATACGGGAATTTTGCGGATGCTAAAATGGCTCATATACATAAACAAAAGAACGAATTCCGGAGGTAGAGATTGAGAGACGGGACAGATTTGGGGTAATGCCGCTCGAAAGAGGTCTCTCGACGGAAATCGATTTTATAGGACGAAGGTATTGGGTCGTGCAATAAGTTCCCTCGGATTTGGACAATATGTAGGGTAACTGTGGGAGCCAAGTGGCATCGGAAAGTGAACAGACGTCAGTAGTGCATCATTATATGATTCTACTGCCTCATTCGCCGCAAATTATATCGAACTTCGCGGCGCACGACGCGCGTCAAATCAAATAATGCGTTCTCCACGATTTCTCTAATTTATTACAAAATATTAGTAGTGATATTTTACTTGTTAAACAGACGTTAAAATCGCGGGAGAATGTAATGACTCTGTCGTGTGTTTATCCTAGATCGATTTGTTTCTGAATCTTCTCTTTTTTTTATACGATTGATTGGACGATGCCATCACAAAGGGACCTCTGTTTCAAGAGAAGATCAAATGGACGTCTGTCACGTGTGCAGAGGACTACAAAAGGAAAAAATGACAATGTCCGGTCGCTCGAGAGACTGGCCGAGTGTTTGCGCTAAGGCCTGTGCACGCTTACAAACATTTTATGCAGACATCCCGCCCACGCGCGAGCTCCTCGAAAGCAATGGATCGTTCGCGTAGCTCGTCGAACCTCCTCGCATTATCTGCAGACCAGTCTATATCTTTTGTCTTCCGTTGGGCTGAAAAACGAGCAACGATTCGAAACGGAGTCCTCGTCTCGCCGCCGTGTAGCTTTTACTTCAAGGTCTTTCATTTGATAAAAATCAGGACTTCTACAATCAACGAATTTCTTGCGATTCTGAAGTCAGATATAATAGGGTAAGTGCGGGTATTACTGCGGACGCCACAAATACTGTGGTATTTTATAAAAGTAATAAAATCTAACATTTTGTAGTGTGCAATATTCTAAAAATGAATCTCATAATATTTTCATTTGTTTAATATTGATAATTTATGACATACAAGTGACAGCAATCGTAGTTTTAATTCATTTATTGGCTTTCGATATTCGGAGGCTTACAAAACGTTGAAGTGTTATGAAATACTCGTAATGACAGCTGCGAACGCTGATTCGAAAGGTATTTATATTTTGGTAATTAATAGTAAGCTATTCATTTTAGCGTTATATTTAGACAAAGTAATCATTACTTCGATAAAAAAACATTCGACGTACACTGTCATTATCATCTATTCTTAAATATTATTTACTAACTTGATTTATTTATCATTTACTACTTGATCGTAGAGTATCTATACCTAATCTATAAAGTGCTACAGTGAGAATTGCAACTGTGTGTGTAGATTCAAAAGAAAATGGGTTATGCCAACCTTGACGCGCAGTAATCGGAACGTCCACAGTATTTGGCTCGCAGTAATAGGTACATAACCGCAGCAATGTACGCGTACGTATGATTTATTTACATTATGCTTTTCAATGAAATTCGCGCTTTCAGAGATCCAATATTTTGAGAAAAGTAAATGTTCAAGTTAAAGAATAACAGGTATAGCCCAACTTGTCAATTCATTGGCGTAAAAGGTCTGATTTTCTCTGTCAAAGTTCGCCTTCGTTGAGAAACCGCAGTAGAGTAATGTCTCTCTAATTGACGCCCAGATTGTCCACAAAAGTGCACAATTTGGGAAGAGGAGATACGATTATTCGAGACTCGCGGTCTCGTTTTTATAGTCTCGAATTGTCGACAACTATAAAAACGAACCGCATTTTTGCGTCCAAGCTTTACTGTAACCCTTAAAATTCAGTCGATTTGATCAAAGACATTCATCAATTTTTCTTACACGATTTCGAATTTTCCTTCGAATTAAAAGCACCCTGTTATAAAGTACGCCCTTCCAGCTTTAATTTGAGTCATCAAAAGTTCGAAAACTGTCCAGTTTTGTGCACAATCTGAGCGTCGGTTAGGGAGACATTACTATAATACCTACATTCACCGTATGCGAGACGCTAGCACAGAGAAACCGCGAATGGTATATTGTACAATAAACAAAACTAGAAAATGGTCAACGTACGAACAACTCCAACCGATCGGGGAAAATCGCGATTTATTTCCAGACAACCTAACCATGGAACCCAGTCAACGGAGAAAATTCCCGCCATAGCTGCCACGGCGAAGAGACGGTTTCTGCCCTATCTTGGTTCCCGGAATGACCCAAGATATCTGGTACATGCAGTCGAACATCCTGTTACGCCGTGCAAGTAAGCGTCGGTGGTAGCGACTTAGTCGAGCGACATGGCTGGGAGACGTTATAATGCCGAACCAGATAAGGCGACACGGTATTCTATGGAATATGCGAGGCAACCGGTCGGCCACAACGCTTCCAGATTCTCTGTGGATCGTCCATAGAGAAGGTCTGGCTGTGTGTGCACAGGGCTTTACTCACCGACCGACGAGACCTCCCGTTTTCGCTCGAGGTCGACCTTGTTCCCGACAAGAATCACTCCGTGGCTGGCCATGTAATCGCTCTTCCACAAATACAGCAGAGTCTCCTCGGCCACTTTCAGGCTCAGCCGGTCCACCACAGAGTAGACCACCACGTAAACGTCCGGGTTGTACGTCGAACAGAATGTCTCCACCTGGCAAGTACAGGGAAATTAATGTCACGGGACACCGGAAATCGACGGCGAACGCGCCGTAACCAAGGAACCGCTTTCCAGATTTTTAGCTCGGGGATTAAAGCGGTTACTTCCGAACGGTTATAAAATGCATTAACGCCGGAATTCTGGAGCTTTTCAGGGCTCAGATTAGAGTTGGCAGGACGCGCGCTTTGCGGCAGGAGGATTTCTTTTCAAAAGCATATTCGAACGCACGCTGAAAAATTGATCGAATCCAGATTGATCGGATGTTGTTACTTCGAGGCGATTTAAAAATTTGTTCCCCCGGGCTTCTTTGAACCTTTGAATGTTTAAATGAAAGCTAGGAGGGTGCACTCTACGATAGAAGCGTTCTGGTTTATAAAGAAAACCGCGAGCATGTTGAGAAATTTCGGAATCTCGCAAGCTAGTAGAGAGAAACATGATTGCGTCGAAGGGGTTACCACGAAGCGATTTTAAAATGTGTTCCCGTAGGAATTTTCGAACTTTTGTTAATTCAAATTAAAGCTGGAAGGGCGTGCTTTATAATAGGGTGCTTTCAATTCGAAGGAAAATTCGAAATCGTGTAAGAAAAATTGATGAATGTCTTTGATCAAATCGACTGAATTTTATGGGTTACAGTAAATTCTTCCTAATTGACGCTCAGCTTGTACGCGAAAATGCGGCTCGTTTTTATAGTTACCGATTGTCAATACTATGGAAACAAGACGCAAGGCTAATAATCGTACCTCCTTTCCTCACATTGTCCATTTTTGTTTCCAAACTGAGCGTCAATTAGGGAGGATTTACTGTAACCCTTAAAATTCGGTCGATTCGATCAAAGACAGCGGTCGACATTCATCAATTTTTCTTATACGATTTCGAATTTTTCTTCGAATTAAAAGCACCCCATTATAAAGTACGCCCTTCCAGCTTTAATTTGAGTCATCAAAAATTCGAACATTCCTACGGGAACACATTTTAAAATCGCTTCGTGGTAACCCCTCCAATGAAATCATGTTTCTTTCTACTAGCTTACAAGATACTACTGTACCTTGAAGCCATTTTCAAATGTGTTCGATCCATGTTTTGTAATTTTATTCTTTTTTTTATGAAAAATTGAAGTTAATTTAGTCGTAACATTTAGCGGAAGAGTATCACAGATATTCTTTCTCGTGTAGCAATTCTTCGAAGCAAATGGTAGCACATTTCCGCGTTAAAAATGTACATTAAAGGGTAAAACGTGTACGAACTGAAACGTATATTTTCAGAATGGATTATTTAATCACGAAGATCGGACTGAAAATGAATTTACTCGTAAAACGGTGAAAAAAATGTATAACATTGTTTCGTGCGTGCTTGGATCCGTGGGAGGATATACATTGGAAATTGTTCACACGAAGTTTCGCTACCGAGAAAACGTAATTTGTAATTTTTTTCGTACGCACACAGTTTCGTATCAGCGAAAATGTAATTTACATGTTTCAACTGACTCTTGATTGACATTGATTATTCCATTCGTTGTCGTTCCTACTGTACACTACGGTAGCAGGTTCCAATAAAGAAGTCAGAAAAATATTTTCCACAAATACGATGCAAAATATTTTACTGAGAAGCTACAAATCAAAATCGGATACACCAAATATACATAATAATCTATACAACATTTTTATTCATCTCCATTCCCCCATCGCAATTATATTATAGTTTTTTTTTAACAGTATAATATAGTAGATTCTCTCCAATTGTTCCTCAGCTTGTTAACAGAAATGGACAATTTGGGAAGAGCAGATGCGATTATTCGAGTCTTTGGCTCGTTTTTATATAATAGTTGCGAGAATCGGTAACTATAAAAATGAGTCACAAGACTCGAATAATCATATCTCCTCTTCCCAAATTGTCCACTTTTGTTTCCAAGTTGAGAGTCAATTAGGGAGGATTTACTCTAATTAGACTTGCAATTTAGCACATAACAATTTTTCTTGTTGCCATGATTACGATCTAAGATAGATGGGCCTGAAATGATAATCTAAAGTTGTAAAATACGCTTGTTATTACAAGCGTTGTTGCCAATCGGTGATTATAAAAACGAGCCGCAAGGCTCGAATAATCGTATCTGCTCTTCCCAAATTGTCCATTTCTGTCAACAAGCCGAGGAAAAATTGAGCCGTTTCTTTTGAAAGTGGCATAAGTCACTTTGTTCTTAAGTCGATACATTTAAGGGTTTGCGTGTTTTAACACGTTTAAAAATATGGATGCTAACTTTCGAGAAGATTTACTTGCATTTGTTATCTCAGGATACTGATATTTTTCTCAGTATAAATAATTTCGTATAAACATGAAAAAATCACCACTTTTCATTACGGTAAAGTGACTTATGCCACTTTCAAAATAAACGGCTCAATTGATGAGAATTAACCGTATCATCAATTTCTTCTGATCCTCCGAATTAAATTTCGCCTACTCGTCTCGGTCGCGAACGCATGAAATCCAGAATCTGCCGAATAATTAGCGAATTATTCGACGTTTCCTGCTGCATATTGATTATCTCAACGAACCGTACTTTTCGATACGCCGAGCGTCAAATCCGTATAAAACGCATCGAATCCCACCAGAGCAGCTCGATGCAGTTTAGCAAACGCGCTGCGTGCCTTCCCACGAAATTAAATTCGCAAGGTAATCCCGCGAGTTAACAACGGGATGAAGATAATGCGACGTTCAGGAGAGATTCTCCCGGCTTTCGAATTAAGCCGGCTGATCCCGTTGTAACCGGGCGAACGAGCCGAAAAACACCTGACAGCCGCGAATTAAGCACCGCCGGGAGATACAAAGTGAAATTTACGCGATCGAACGACAACAAAAGCCTTTTCGAGGATGCCGCGCCGTCGTGCTCGACACTCACCGACATCTCCGCCGCGGGATGATCGATGATCTCCAGCTCGGTTTCTTGCCCGTCGAGCAACACCGACACGCTCTTCTGCCCGTACTCCTCGTCTGGAACAGATTTCGGCGAAGTTTTCACATTAACCTTTCACATCAATTCAATTCCCGTCATTTTACAATTAAACGGACGTTAACTGGTCTCATAAATTCAGCGAAAACACTTGACGCAAATCATAATAATCTCTCGACGTGTACGTTGCTATAGCCACCAGCGGTTAAATATTACAATTTTATTCAATTTATATAATACACGATCTCCAAAGTTTAGTTTACGTTCGCGTGGCTTCCCTTCGTTGCAATTTAATTACTGGATAAACTCGAAATGCAATTATCGAGAAAGGAACGAGTTTGGGAAGCCATTTTGTAGATTGTAGGTCGTAATTCCTCGAGATGGCCGCTCGCAGGAAGGCGATAAGATTTCACTTCTTCGTTATTCCAGTTCTTCCGTTCTCGATTCAACCGTGTTACCGTGTCGGCTCAGATTCCGCGGTAATTTTCATTTCGTTAGAACTCGCGCCCCGTCAATCGGACACCGTCAACTAACAAACAGATTAATCCCAGCCCCGGGCCCCGAGTGGAGGCACCGTCTCGGAATGAATAGTTAATTAAAATCACCTAAGTAATTGTAATATACACACGACGGTTGTGCCGGGAACTTAATTAAGGGGACGACGGATGGCACAAAGGTTCGTTTGCTCCCGCAGTGGGTCGATGGAATTGTTTACGAGGCGGCCTGCAACGTTAATAAAATATTCCTCATTAATTTTGGAGTGCTGTGCGTCGCACGTCGCGCAAACTGAGCGTCAATTAGGGAGAATTTACTGTAACCCTTAAAATTCGGTCGATTCGATCAAAGACAGCGGTCGACATTCATCAATTTTTCTTATACGATTTCGAATTTTCCTTCGAATTAAAAGCACCCCATTATAAAGTACGCCCTTCCAGCTTCAATTTGAGTCATCAAAAGTTCGAAAATTCCTAGGGGAACACATTTTAAAATCGCTTCGTGGTAACCCCTTTAACGCAATCATGTTTCTTTCTACCAGCTTACGAGATACTGCTGTACCTCGAAGCCATATTCAAATGTGTTCGATCCATGTTTTGTAATTTTATTCTTTTTTTTTATGAAAAATTGAAGCTAATTTAGTCGTAACATTAAAATAAAATATTCCTCATTAATTTTGGAGTGCTGTGCGTCGCACGTCGCGCAATTAGAACGTCCGAATAACTCCGAAGTATGTACATATGTTTTAAGGGTGGGAATCGGTGATTACGAGTCTGGATCTGTAAACGAAAGCAGGCGAGCGGTTATTGTTATACTAATCACTTTTATAGCACACGAGTCGTGATCGTTGAATTAATCACTTTTATCGAGTTCTCGGTTACCTCGCCGCGATCCACAAACGCGATATAATTTATTTATTCTCCATGGTGGCCGTAGTCGATACTTTCACCCTCAAAGGGCTCGACGCCGGTTAGGGTTCGAAGGTCTGGCTCGTGGAGATAAGGGTCCGGCTTCCCTTATTGTTATTGTCGGGATAGACTCATTGTCAGGCTGAACACGTGTCGGAATAACAGAGCGGAACGATGGTAGACGTTTTCGTTAAGTCGCGATAAAGGCATTAATATTCATGCTGAAATTAATAAAAATATCGAGAGCACGCATGTAAATCGATTAATTTCTAAAGCGTGCTCGATAATATAAATAAAGCGTGCTCGAAGCTAGTAATCAAGTAATTAAAATTGAATTTTCTCCTTCACGGTCTGCGCCGAATTAATTATATCCGCATCGTTAATATTGATTTTAAAAGTGACACAAACTGTTCATTTCGACTGTACGTTTTAAATCCTTTTTGGAAATGTTTATTTTACACAGCGCGACTAAAATGTATGCGAAGCTCCGGTGGTAAAAAGAAAATTGAATCTCCTTATCCACGAAATCGTGCGATGGATTAAGTTAGTAAATGTTTTATTTCGCTAACCGGTTTAACTGTGTTCGACAAACGACAACGGTGAAAAAATGATACAATTTTAAAATTCTAGCTGATAAATTACACGTTTCTCTCTTACTATAAAAAATATTACCGTGAAAAACTTCACTTTGCTATCCTTTTTACTGGAACATTTATCTGCCACGCAGAAGCACACTTTCATCGCGCAATTTCAACCGAAGGGGAATTCAAAAAATATCAAATTATGCTGGTCTCACGAGGTTTCAAATTTTCCGCAAACGAGATTCTGAGAAAATTGTAACGTATAATCGACAGTTTAAAATCATAGCGATATTTTAAAAAAACGTGATAGAGAGAGGGAGAACATTGAATTACGTATTACAAATAGTTTTTAGACGAGAAAGATATTCAAGAACGTAGAAAAACAGAGCTCGTCGTCGAACGGCTCGCGGATTACCGACTGCATTATGAATTCTCCTGGAAAAAAGAGGATGTGATCGATGCCGCCAGCTTTTTCATTCGTGATAATAAAAATGGCGTCCTTCGCTGGAAATTAATGCCAATTTCGTTGTTACCACCGAGCACGAAAGCGGATCCTTCGGCGAACGGAGCAAGCAGCTAACGAACCGAGTGACCGTATTTGTGCTTAATCGAAAGACTCCTGACCTTTTCCGGTTTACGAACGTCACACACATAGGTACGCGGGTTACGTAACAGGATGCTCCGGGGTTTTTCTTTTTTTAGATATTTTTTTCACGCCGGCACATCTCCAATATCCTAATTGGAGGGCGGGGCGCGTGTTCTTTCATTGTTCGCAAACGCCAAGAATCAGAAAAATCACCGGCCGAAAGGGCCCCGTGCTTCCTTTCGCGAACGTTTTTTTCACATCGCGGGCATTGTTTCCGACGTTTGAACACGCGGCTAGTCGAAGTCAAGCTTTTCAATACCGAGACTTTTTAAACTAGACTTCTCAAACTTCTCGAACCGCGCGAAAGAACATATTATAATGAACGCATCGAAAGGAATCGGCCGACAGAAGTTGTTTCGAGTGAATAATGGGATCGAAGAGAGTTGATCGATCGGTTGTGAAACGTTCTTGAAAACGACGGTGAACGCATCGGCGATCAAACTTCACTGTGCCAATAATTATTTAACGCTTCAAGTTTGAGAAACGATTTTTCGAAAGGAGCGTTCTTCATAAATCATCGACGAAGACCGAATACCCCCGCCTACGCACGCGATCTTCTCGTGTACAAACGCGCATGATGGAGTCGATTACGTTGTTAACATTCAGAAGCAAACGACCATCGAGCTTTTTTCAAGAAAACACCCCGCGAATTATACTTGTTGGGCTTTCCCATTTATCGGGACGGATAAAAAGGCTCGCGAACTCGTGCTCGAAATTACCCTACCGCAATCAAACGTAATCACCATTATTCGATCATTCGTAGGCGGTTCATTCGTACAGCCATTTAAACGAAATCATAATCTGCAGGTGATTACTCGGTCGGGGACCGAGTCACAGCGGTGCATCGACTGTAATTTGCATTCGCGGCTGCTTTTAAAGTACCAGCAGACCCGCCCTCCACCCTCCCGCGGGTACCATAAAACCCGAGTCTGTTCGGTTTACGACAGGTAAGTCTTTTCAGCCTCATTGCTATACGACGTCTAGACGTTGTAAACAGTGCTATCGCAGAAATTAGGGTACGTACAAGTGAACGAAGCTGGGATTTGATTGGAGAACTTCATGATTGCTTAATTCTTCAGTTTTGCGTTATTGGAACTTTACGTTAGGAATATTTATAAATCATCGACATAGGTGCAAACGAGCGACATCTGTTAGCCTAATAGCAACCCGAACATGTACACACGTGTATAAATAGATCACGTTCAAAAGGACGAGTCTCTCTCTCTCTCTCTCTCTCGGAACAAAGCCGTCGTAAACAGGTGAGAAATATAGTAAAACAGTAAAACCTTATTTCGGTGCACAATTTGGGAATAGGAGATACGATTATTCGATCCTTGCGGCTCGATTATCAACTACAAAAACGCGTCGCAAGGCTGGAATAATCGTACCTCCCCTTCCCAAATTGTCCATTTTTGTTTCCAAGCCGAGCATCAATTAGGGAGAATTGACTGTAATCAGGAATCGAATGAAAAGTGGATGGCAAATTCAGTTTGCGATTCGTGAACGAGCAACACCGTAATCGCAGAGTTAGGGTCGATTCACATCTAAGTGCCAAAGGCTCGGGCGTGCTCCAAAGCTGATCAAGGCCGAATCATTTTTACATTTGATTTACATTAGAGTGTTTACACTACACACGCCGTGCTCGCAGCGTGCCAGGACGAACGGCACCGTCCAAACGTGTTCACACTTGCAGGCACGCCCGGACCAGGCTTGCTTCGTCCGTAATCGAAACAAAGCGAGACGAAACAACGGAATTGGTACGATGTGGACAGAATGCGCAATCTTTCGACTTGACGAAGCATGCAAAACAAGGAATCTATGAAGGCTAGATCATAATTCAATAAAATGTTCAATTCTGAAGAAAGTAACGGCTTTTCAGAGAAAATGGTTGGTATTGTTTCACGAACAAATGGGGTCGAAAGAGAATTTTCTGATTCTTTTCAGCTTTCAATTCGTAGATTTACCACATTTTTTAAAAAGTATAACTGTATTGTTCAAGACGACCCATTTTAAAGAGCAATGTTTTACACATGCGCTATCATTAATTTCAAGGTGTAAGCATAATTTACTAAGTATGATACAGCTATACGAGACAGATGTACATTTAAGTATATAATAAGCATTTCTTTAACTTTTATTTCATTTAATTAAACGGCACATGTTATTTTGTTGCAAATTTATAAGTCAGACACAGCCCTGACATAATCCTGACATAACCCTTCTTTTTCCTTTCGTGGAGGAAATCTGCTCGTCAGACACCCCCGGACAGCCCGGAGGAAACGGAAAGAGGATAGTGAGGGTTTCGACCTACTGAAACCTTCACGGCGGCCTTCGGACACTGCGCCGACAACTGTTGATTCAGGAAGGGGAGGGGCGGGAATCCTCAAACAACGCCACCGCCCCCACCCCTC